GGGGACGGGGGGGGGTCACCCCGGCAGCCCCTGGGGTGGGGGGGGAGGGATGGGGACGCGGCGGGGGGGCTCACCCCTGACGTGATGATGACTGACTGGAAGCGCTCGAAGACGGGTTTGATGGCGATGGAGGCGTCCATGCAGCTGGGGGGGGGGACACACACACAGACCCCTGGGGTGACACTGCCGTGTCCCCTTCCCCCCCCAGCACCCTCCCCCCCATGTCCCACCCTTCTGCCCACACCTGAAGTGCAGGATGGGGTTGGAGATGGTGGGGGTCCTGTCGTCGAAGGGCTCGATGATGATGGTGAAACCTGGGAGATTATTGGGCGGGGGGGGGGGGGGGGGCCCACTGTCAGTGCTAACCAGGGCGGGGGGCCACCCAGCACCCTCCCAAGCAGGACACAGGTTTCCGCCCACCCCCCCCCAAGGGTGCTCATCCACCCGCCCCAAGGGGGATTTATGGACCGTCCCACCACCCATGGGTGCTGATCCCCGCACCAGGCGGGGCTCACAGAGCACCCGCCCCCACCCTGCCCTCCAAGGAGGGGGGGGTGGGGGGGGGGGTGTGTCAGGGATTGCCCCCCACCTCGCCCTGGGGGCGCCCAGCCTGACCCTTGGCGTAGGTGCTGACGAGGGTGGCGAAGTTGGCGACGAGGGTGATGGCAGAGAAATCGGCCACGTCCACGATCTCCAGCGTCCACAGCAGCGAGCGCAGCCGCTCGGCGCAGAACCTGCCGGGGGACACACACCCACACCCACCCACCCCCAAATTAATCACCTGGGGACACACACACACCCCCCCAAATTAATCACCTGGGGACACACACACACACACACATCATCCCAGGGGCATCGTGTCCCCATGAGGAGGGGAAACGCCACAATTTGGGGGAGCCAGGGAGGGGAGATACCACCCTGGGAGCAGGGTTCTTTGAGGGGTGGGGGCAGGGAATGGGATTGGGGACCCCCCCCCCCATCCCCAGACTCACCGCAGGGGCTTGCGCTCGATGCAGACCTTCTCGTAGAGGTCCTTGAGGAAGGCGGGGGGGCTCTCCTGCACCACCCGCGGCCCCCGCACCCGTGCCCGCAGGTAAGCCACGAACCGCTTCAGGAACCCCACAAAGTGCTCAGCCGTCCGGATGCTGCCGGGCACGGCCTCTGCGGGGGGACACACACACACATTGGGGGGGGGGGGGGGCTCAGATAGGGACCCCTTGGCGCTCCCCCCACACCCAAAGGAGAGCCTCGGGGATCCCCCGGTTGCCTGTGCTCAGCTGGAGGGGGAGGTTGGGGGGCACTGGAGGTTGGTGTGGGGCTGGGGGCACCCCAGAAAGATCCTAAGGGGGGGGGGGGGGGCATCCCAAAAGGCAGGGGGGGGGGTCTCAGGGACCTCCAGGGTGGCTGTGCTCAGCTGGAGGGGGAGTTTGGGGGGCACCCCAAAGGGATCCCGAGGGCTGGGGGGCGGGGTCCCAATGGGCAGAAGGGTCTCAGGGACCCCCAGGGTGGCTGTGCTCAGCTGGAGGGGGAGTTGGGGGGCACCCCAAAGGGATCCCGAGGGCTGGGGGGGTCCCAATGGGCAGAAGGGTCTCAAGGACCCCCAGACACCCCCGTGCTCAGCCAGAGCAGAGATCAGGGCACACCAGCATCCCACATGGGGCTGGGGAGCGCCTCACCCCGAAAAGGGGCTCAGAAACCCCCCCTGTGCTCCTCCAGCATGGAAAGGGGTGGGGGTAGTGGGGACACCCCAAAAGATAGGCCCCCCCCCCACCCTGTACCCTGCAGGATCTCATCGGGCAGCACAGGGTTGGCGAGGTAGAGGTCGGTCTCGCGCGCCACGCCGGCCTCCCGCAGCCCCTCCACCAAGCGCCGGTACTCCTCGGTCAGCCGCCGCGCGTCCGTGTCCTTGATCCTGGGAGTGGGACGACACACACACGGTGGGGGACACGCACACACATGTAATTTGGGGTCGGGGGGGGGACACGCGGAGCCCACTTACTTTTGGATGGTGGCCTGGAGCGTGGCCACGTTGGCCTGGCAGCGGTCGAGCGTCCGGCGCGTGATGTTCACCCCCATGGAGTCGATGCAGACATTGTCTGGGGGGACGGGGTAACGCTATGTCGTGTGTGTGTCCCCCCTCCAAAGGTGACCCAGAGGGTGTCAGGTGACCCCCCCCCAGGGAAAAAGAGGGTTGAGGGGGGTGCTGACCGATATTGTGAGCCTCGTCGAAAACCACAACTGATTTTCTGGCCAATTCCTTGGAGACCAGGTCGGCGATTTTGGGATCCAACAGGTAGTGGTAGCTGTAGACAATGATGTTGGCGTGGAGGATCTGCCGGAGAGGGACACACACACACAGACATTTCAGGGACATTTGGGGACATTTAGGGACAGCTCAGCGCCCCTCCAGAACCGATGCCGGCCCCCCCCCCGTACCGAGTAGCGGGCGAGGAAATAGGGGCACCAGCCTTTCTGGCGGCCGTGAGCCTTCAGGTCGTCCAGGTTGTAGATGCCGTAGGGGATGGGCACCTCACGCCCGTGGGTGTCGAATTCCTGGGGGTGGGGGGGGGGAAAATCCAGGGCGGGGCAGCTGGGGGTCCCCAGGGGGGTCCCCGGGGAGGCGAAGGGGGCAGCCAGGGGCAGGGGGGGGCAGGGGACTGGGGAAAGGTGGGGGGGATAGGGGTGGGGGGGGAAGGGGTGGGTTGTGGCCAGGGAGCACCCCAGGGTGTTCGAGAGCTGGATGGGGAATTGGGGGGACCCCAGGGTGTTCAAGAGCTGGATGGGGAATGGAGGGGACCCCAGGGTGCTCGGGAGCCAGATGGAGAACTGGGGGGACCCCAGGGTGCTTGAGAACCTGTTAGGGAAGGGGGGCCACCCCACAGTGCTCGGGAGCTGGATGGGGAATGGGGGGAACCCCAGGGTGGTCTGGAACCAGTTAGAGAATGAGGGGGGACCCCGAGGTGCTTGGGATCCAGTTAGGGAATGGGGGGGCCCCAGGGTGCTTGGGAACTGGATGGCGAATTGGGGGGACCCCAGGGTGCTTGAGAACCTGTTAGGGAAGGGGGGGCACCCCAAGGTGTCGGGAGCTGGATGGGGAATGGGGGGGGGCCCAGGGTGCCGGGAGCTGTTGGGGACACCCCAGGGCACCCAGGAGCTGGCAGGAGACTGGGGGGGCACCCAGGGGTCCCGCAGGTGCCACGGGGGCCCCCCCGAGCAGGGGCAGGCGGGACACCCTTGGGTGCCTGTCGGGGGATCGGGGTGGGGGGGGGATCCCTCACCTCAAAGAAGCGGCAGGCGGGCAGGGATCCGTCACGCTGGTGCTGCGCCCGCACGTAGGAGGCCGTCAGGCTCAGGCATCGGCTGTCCACCTCCTTCCCAAAGCGCAGCGAGGACACCTGCACCCCCCGTGGTCACCCCGCTGTCACCGAGATCCCCCTGGGATCCCTCCCCCCCCCAAGCCGGATCCCACTCGGTCCCCTGCCCACCTCGGGGTGGATGCAGAGGTTCTTCCTGGAGCTCAGCGCCAGTCCCAGGAACGGCACCTTCTCCCCCAGCTCCTTCTCGTAGAAATCCATCAGCTTCCGCAGCTCCTCAATCACCTGTGGTGGCAACGCTCGGACAGATCCCTCAGGATCCCCTCTGCGATCTGCTCCCCCCACCTTTCCCCCAGCTCCTCACCCCACCTTCTCAATCTCCGGCACCGTGCGGGAGCAGTAGATCAGTTTGGTGACATCCAGCGGCTGGGCCTGGGGAGAGAGGTGATGCCAGGATCTGCTAGGCTGGGATCAGCTGGGATCAGGCGCTGGTGCTCACCCGCTGATAGGCAACGATGAGCGACAGCAGTGACACCGTCTTCCCAGTCCCCGAGGGCATCTCCAGGACGCCGTGGCCCTGCCGAGAGAGCAGCAGCGTCACCCCAGCGGGGACCTCCCCAGGGGTTGCGTGTGGGGGTGGATCCCAGTCTGCTGGGGACCACCAGATCCCACCATACCTTGGCGTCCAAGGTCCTCTTGAGCTCCAGCATGTAGGAGAACTGCTCAGGGTAGATGTAGTCATAGGGGAAGTAAACCACGAGGCCGTCGATGTTGAGCCTGTGAAGGGGCCAGGGAGAGGAGGATTCCTGCAAGGGATCCCACCAGATCCCACCCCAGTTCTGCGCCTGGCTGATCCCTCCTTGCCCCGGGATCGGGGTGCCCCAGCCCACTCCTGCTGTCCCCACTCTTGGCGGGCCGGCGGCCGGGATCTGGTGGGTGACAGCCCGTGGGATCCAGTGGGGGAGTCGCCGGGCTGAGGTGGCCCCGGGGAGCTCCTCCCGGTCTCAGCTCTCCATCGCTGTCCCGGCAGGGATCGCTGGGGATCCCAGCCCTCCTCCGGGCCCAGCAGCCCCCGGGATCCCCCGCAATCCCGGCCCTCCCGTGGGCTTGGCATCCCCCGGGATCCCCCCGCGATCCCGGCGCTCCCGCGGGCCCGGCAGCCCCGGGATCCCCCCGCGATCCTGCCCCCTCCCTCCCCGCTCACTTCATGGCTCCCGCCGCTTCCACACGCCGCCGGCTCCTGCGCGGCCCCGCCCCTCCGGTCCCCACCTCGGTCCGCTCCCTCCCCCATTGGACGGCGCACCACACCCCCGCCCCGCCTCCCCCTTCCGATTGGCCGCGCGCGCTGCCCATCAACGGCGCGGGGCGTGGCCGCCTGGGCCGAAGGCGAGAAGAGCGGCGCCGGGGAAGCAATCGAACGCCGAGTGCAGCGAGTTGAGCGCCGAGCCGCGGAGCGGAGGGGTACCCCCGAATCGCGGCAGCGTCACCCCCCCACGGGCGTGTCACCCCCACCCCACTGTCCCCACACGTGCCACCGCTCCGGCCCGCAGCAGGCTGTCACCCCCCCGCTCCCGTGTCAGCCCTCCGAGCCCACGCAGGGTGACCCCACTCGTATCCCCGGACCCGAGTGGTCCGCACCCACCCGTGTCTCCCCCCACGCCCCCCAAAGTGGGTGCCAGGGCCGGATTGTGGTGACGTGGTGGCACGGACAGACATCTCAAAGAGCTTTATGTCACCTCCCCCTCCTTGGGGGGAGGGGGTCCCCAAACCACTGTGGGGCCACAGACTTGGGTGGGGGAGTCCTGGGTGGGTCCATCACTGCCAGGTCACACCTGGGGGGGGGGGGGGGAAGAAGAGAAAGAAGGGGTTAAAACTGGGGGGGGGGGGGGGGGGGGCGGATTGAAATAGGGGGTTGCGTGGGTGGGGGGCTCACCCGGGTGGCGGAGGCTCGTGGCGGCCGCCGCTCCCTCCCTGGGGGGCTCGTCCCGGGGGCCTCCCCCGCCTCCGGCGGGCGGCTGCTACTGAAAAAAACCCTGTCAGGACCCCCCCTCCCCCAAAACGGGGGTGCACGTTCTCCCCACCCCACCACCACCCCCCCTCAAAAAAATCTCACCTCTCCCCTGGCAGCCGCCGCCGCCGCCGCGCTGCCAGCGCCAGCCCCACACCGGGACCCAGCAGGGCGAGGGGGAGGGCGCAGGCGAGGGCGAGGGGTGCGGGGGGCCGGCGGTGGGGGGCCGGGGGGGGACCCCCGACTTCCTCCTCGCAGCGGGACCCCATAAATCCCGGGGGGCAGGCGCAGACGTGGCCGGAGAAGTGGGTGTAGCAGGTACCCCCGTGCAGGCAGGGGCCGGAGGCGCAGGCGTCGGCGCGGCGGCGGCAATCGGTGCCAGCGTAGCCGAGGGTGCAGGAGCAGGTGAAGGTGTTGGCGCCGTCCTGGCAGGTGCCGCCGTTGGCGCAGGGGTTGGGGGTACAGTCGTCGGCGTTGCGTTCGCACCGGCGCCCCGAGAAACCCGGCCGGCACTTGCAAAGGGCCCCGCGACCCAAGTCCCGGCACTGCCCGCCTGCGACGGGGAAGGGGGTCAGCGGCGCCGGACCGTGCTGGGGAGCGGGGGGGTCAGACACCAAACTGTGCCAGGGAGGGGGGTTGGTGACACCGAATTGTGCCGAGGAGGGGGTCAGAGACACCAAACTGTGCCAGGGAGGGGGTTGGTGACACCGAATTGTGCCAAGGAGGGGGTCAGAGACACCAAACTGTGCCAGGGAGGGGGTTGGTGACACTGAATTGTGCCAAGGAGGGGGTCAGAAACACCAAACTGTGCCAGGGAGGGGGTTGGTGACACCGAATTGTGCCGAGGAGGGGGTCAGAAACACCAAACTGTGCCAGGGAGGGGGGTTGGTGACACTGAATTGTGCCAAGGAGGGGGTCAGAAACACCAAACTGTGCCAGGGAGGGGTTGGTGACACCGAATTGTGCCGAGGAGAGGGTCAGCGACACCAAACTGTGCCGGGGAGGGGGGTTGGTGACACTGAATTGTGCCGAGGAGGGGGTCAGAGACACCAAACTGTGCTGGGAAAGGGGTCAGCGGTGCCAAACCGTGCTGGGGTGGGGGTCAGCAACACCAAACTGTGCCGGGGAAGGGGTTGGTGACACCGAATTGTGGGGAGGAGGGGGTCAGAGACACCAAACGGTGCTGGGAAAGGGGTTGGCAATGCCAACCCATGCTGGGGAGGGGGGTCAGAGACACCAAACTGTGCCGGGGAAGGGGTCAGCAGCACCGAATTGTGCTGGGGAAGGAGTCAGTGATGCCAAACTGTGCCGTGGAAGGGGGTTGGCAACACCAAATCGTGCCAAGGAGGGGACAGCGATGCTGAACCGTGCTGGGGTGGGGGTCAGTGGTGCCAAACCGTGCCAGGGAGGGGGTCAGTGATGCCAAACTGTGCCGGGGTGGGGGCCAGCAACACCAAATTGTGCCGGCGAGGGGCTCAGCGCCGCCGAGCAGCGCCAGGGCGGGGGTCGGTGACGCGGAACCGCGCCGGGCTGGCTCACCGTGCAGGCAGAGGTGGTCGGCGCAGCGGTCGGCGCGGCGCTCGCAGTTGGAACCGCGGAAGCCGGGGGGGCAGCGGCAAACGTAGCCGGCGCCGGCAGCCGGGTCAGGGGCACAGGCCCCGCCGTTGAAGCAGGGACCGAGGGCGCACGGGGACGGCGGCACCTCCGGGAGAGGCTCCGGCATCGCCAACCGCCCCGCGGCCGGCAGCGACGCCGAAGACGCCGGCGCTGCTGCCGGGGCTTCAGGGGCCGTTGTCGGCGCTGCCGGTGCCGCCGCTGGGTCTGCTGCCAATGCCACCGGTGCTACCGGCGACGCCACCGGTGCTTCCAGGGCCACGGCGGGTGCTGCTGGTGCCACTGGGACCACAGCCGGTGCCGCCAGCGCCGCTGCCACCGCTGCTTGTCCCGAGCCAGGGGTGTCACAGCGCGACCCCGGGGACTCGCTGCTGGGACCCTGAGTGGGCAGCACCGTTACCAAAATGGGGGGGGGGGGGGGAAGTACCAGACCCCCACCCCTGGGTGGATGTGGGGGTGCTGGGAAGCACTGGGGTCCCCAGGGGGTGCCGGGTGTCCCACTCACCGTGCAGGTGCCGCTGTTGGTGCAGGCGCTGCCATCGGTGGTGGGGGGAGCGCAGGCTTCCAGGCACCCGCCTGCGGGGAGAGTGGGGTGTCAGGGGCACCCCAAAAGCCAAGGGGCACCCTGAGGTGCCGGTGGCCCCAGCCCTAAGAAAGAGGAGGGGGTGTTGGGGGGGGGGGGGAGGGCCTGGGGTACTCACGGCGGGCGCAGCAGGGGGGCCAGCAGCGGCGGGGGGGGTGGCAGGCGGCGGGCGGTGGGCAACGGCGGGTGCAGGGGGGGCAACGGTGGGTGCAGCGGGGTCCGCGGGCGGGGGGGGCGGCAGCGCAGGCGGGTGCCAAAGCGCAGGCCCCCCCCCGCCCCACCTCGCCAGGGGCCCCCCGGGGAGAGGTGCTGCCGGGACACTGCGCGCCCCAAAAGCCGGCCCTGGGGCCCTGGGGGCACCCGTCAGTACCCCCTAGAGGCCCCCCCCCCACCCCGACTTTGTTCTTCTCACCCCCCTCACTCCAAGGGTTCCCATTCAATGCCCTCCCCCCCCCCTCCTTCCTCCAAACATCCAGGGTTCCTCATTGCCCCCCTAAACCTTCATTTGGACCCCCCAATGTCCCATCATCTGCCCCCCCCGACCCCCATTTGTCCCCCATTTACCCCCTGGGACCCCCATTTGCCTTCTGGGCTCTCATCTGCCACCCCCCTTAATCCCCAGCTACCTCCTCTGGGACTTCCATTCTTGCCCAACCCCCCCCCCCCCCCCCCCCCCAATACCCAGGGCCCCTATTTGCCCCCCTGGGACCCCTATTTGCCCCCCCCCCCAATCGCTCCCCACGTCCCCCCCACTCACCCCCAGGGCCTTTGGCCTCCTCCAGCCGCCATGACTCGATGACAAGGGAGACGGTGCCCTGGGGGGGTCCGGGTGGGGGGCAAAAATCAGGGTGGGGGTCATTCCTGGTCAATTGGGGGTCCCGGGACCATGGCAGGGGGGGTCAAACTTAAGGGGGGTCCTCACCGGCCAGGGGAAGGCGAAGGGCAGGCGGAGGATGCGGGGGGCCCCTGGGGCAGGGGGGGGCCCAGGGGGGCTGTGGGCGACCCCCAGGCTGCAGCCGACCCCCCCGGGGGGCCGCAAGCAGAGGCGGAAGACGAGGCGACAGGAGGGGGGACCCCCACAGGGTCCCCCCGGGCCCCCCCGTGCCGACAGCACCCGCAGCTCCAGCACCCCGGCTGGCTGTGCCTGCAAGGGGGTGTCAGTGACCTGAGAGCCCCCCCCTCAGCACCCCAAAACATCTCCCAGGGACACCCCAGCACCCAAATATCCCATCAGAATGCCCCCCAACACCCCACAATTGCCCTCTAGGCCCACCCTGATCCCTCAGAGCCCCCCTCTCAGCACCCTAAAACACCCCCCAGGGACACCCCAGCACCCAAGTATCCCTCCAAAGTCCGCCAAATACCCCTGAGCACCCCAAAATGGCCCCTTAGGACCCCCTCGATCCTCCCCCAGCATCCCAAATCCACCCCAAGGACCCCCACACCAACTCCACAGGGACACTCTAAATTCCCTGGAGCCCCCACCAGCACTACAAACAGCCCCCACAGGACCCCCAAATCTCACCCCCGCCCCCCCCCAATATCCCAAATACCCCTCCTGGAACTCCCTCCTATCCCAAGACCCCCTGGGGATCACAAAGGGACACCCGAAGCACCCCAGAACTGCCCCCAAAATTGCCGAGGGTCTCCCCCAGACTCCTAAGACACCCCCCCTCAGGGCCCCCCCAGCCCCCTCCCCGGTGTCAGGCTCACCGGCGGCAGGCAGAGGAGGGCGAGGAGGGCAGCCAGCAGCAGCACAGCCATGGAGGGGGGGCCAGATCCGGGCCCGGGGGTCCCACCTGGTCCAAGGGCTCAGTGGGGTCTGAGCCCACTGCCCCACCCCCCGCCAGACCCCTTTCTGAGGGCCACGCCCCTGCCCAGAGGCCACGCCCCCCATGATGACCACACCCACACCCACCCCCCCCAGGGGATGTGGCCCCATAAACCCCCCCCGCAAAGGGCCTGGATCCAACCCCATAACCCCCCCAAAAAGGGAACAGATCTAACCCCATAACCAATCCCTCCTCCCCGGTCTGAATCCAGCCCTATAACCCCCCCAAAAGGGCCCAGACTGAACCCCATAACCAATCCCCCCCCCCCCCCGCCAGCTCTGGATCCAGCCCCATAACGCCCTCAAAAAGGCTCAGCCCCATGAATCCCCCCCACCAAAGGGCCTGGATCCAACACAGCACCAGAGAGGAGGGGAAGGGGGGCGCTTCAGGCCCCCCCCCCCCCAAGCAGCACAGCGCACCCACAGCTCCACGTCACCCTTTATTCACCCCCACTGGGGTTGAGCCTGCCCTCCCCCCCCCCCTCCCCCAAAAAGCAGGGGCTGCACCCGATCCCCCCCCCGCCACGGGGCTGCCGGCACCTCTGCCCGCCACTGTCCATGTCCAGGGGTGACACATCACCCCCCCCCGCTTCCAGAGCGCCGACAAACGGGGTGCAGCCCCCCCCACCCCCCACCCCGCCCCCCCGCCGACGTCCCGATGACATCACGGCACCGTCCCGCTGACATCACGCTGACATCACTGCTGCTTGGAGCGCGGCCAGAGGCGGCCGGCCAGGGCGCCCAGGAAAAGCCCCGTCGGCTTCTTGCCCTGTGCCAGCTCGGCCAAGCGCTGCTGCTCCTCCTACGCACCCCCGATTTGGGGTGAAAAACAGCCGTTATGGGCAAGGAGTTCCTGCCAACCCCCAACCCTCCCCGTGTCATTTCCCCCCCCCCCCCCCCCCCCAGCGCATCCCCACCTCTTCCAGCTGCGACCGGCGCCGTTTAAAAGCCGCCAGCGGATCCTCCTCCAGCGCGTAATTCTCCAGCACCGTCCGGACGTCCTCCACCCCGCTGAGGGCGATGGCTGTGGGGACACAGATGGGTTGTTTTTTTGTTGGTTTTTTTTTTTTTTTGGGGGGGGGGGGGAGGGTTGGGTAGGGGGGAAGCCAGGGAGGGGCGTCGCGGATGTTTGGGGGATGTGTTTACCCACTTTTAAGGAAAGCGGTGAGGTCGTAGAGCGCGCGGTCGTCGGAGCTGCCGTCCCAGCGGGGCAGCGCCAGCCCGTTGTAGGGTTGGAGGCAAAAAGCTTCTCTCCGGCAATCCACCACCACCACCTTCGCCGGGTCTCTGTTGAGGCAGGAGATGTCCTAGGAGGGGACAGAGAGGGGCTGGCAGAGGGCGGAGGGGGGGTCACCAAAGTGCCTGTCCCCCTTCCCCTGCCCTCCTCGGCCCCCCCACCTTGACGTGGTGTCCGTCCATGTAGCGGGTGGCATCGCGGAAGAGGCGGTAGGAGACGAAGCCGTGGGGGTCCACGCTGTCGATGAGGGGGAAAGCGGTCTGGGGGGGGGAGGGAGGTGTGTGTGAGAGGGTGGGGGTCACCCCGCGGTGGCCCTGTGTGTGTGTCCCCCCCCCCCCCACCCCGCGAAGCGACCCTGTTCCCCCCACTTTGTGCTCACCATGCCGGTTTCAGAGGTGAAGACGACGATCTCGTAGAGGGGCGCGAGCTGCTGGAGGAGGCTCTCGATGCCCGGGCGCTTCTTGAAGCGCCAGCCCGTGACAAGCTGTTTTTTTTTTTTGGGGGGGGGGACACACAAGAAGACACAGAGAAGTGTCACGGGGTGGGGTGACAGTGGAGGAGGAGGGGGGCACGGGAGGGCTTGGGGGACACTCACCGACCACTCGGGGTGCAGCAGGACGTCGGTGAGCTCGATGACGAGGGTGTAGGGGGGCTGGTAGTAGGGTTCACGCAGGGGGTCTGGCAGCAGCTTGGGGCTGGTGGGCTCGATGATCATCTGGGGGGGGGGGGAACGGGGGACAAATAGGGGGAGGGATGGAGCCCCCCCAAGCATGCGGGTGAGCCACCAGTGTGGGACAAGGGGCCCCCAAAAGGGGACAGGGTCCCCACACTGTCATAGGGGCAAGGGCTGGAGCATGGGGACGAAGCACCCTGGCAAATGGGGACAACCCCCCCCCCCCCCCAGAGTGGGGATGGGAGCCCCTGTCTTATGACAGACCCCAAGGTGAGGACAAGGACCCCTGATCAGTGAGAGGTGACCCCGAAACAGGGAGAAATGTCCCCCAGAATGAGGACAGGGGACCCCAAAAGAGGGACGTGACTTCCCAGCACTAGGACAAGGTTCCCCAAGAGAGGAGGGGGATCTAAAATATCCCCAAAATGGGGATGAAGTACCCTGGGAGAGTGAAAAAGCTCTTGGGACGGGGACTGCCACCCCTGATCAAATGAAGCCCCACCCAAAATAAGGGGACCCCCCCCTCAAAACGGGTCCCTACACACCTGCCTGTAGTCCTTGAAGTACTTGTACGTCCTGCGGAGCTGCTGGATGCCCACAGGGTCTGCGAAGCCAAGGCCAGCGCAGGTGAGGGTCACCCAGGGTCCCTGCTGTCCCCAAGGCGGGTGACAGTCGTATGTCCCGTCCCCCCCCACCCCACCCCTCCACCAGGATAAAGACCAAAGCGCCCCCCCCCCCCCCAAAAAAGCCCCTTTTGGGTAACAACAGGGTGTTAAAAACGTTGTAAAAGCCTCTGGCTGCGACACCGAGGTGTCAAACGGCCTTGAGGATGCAACATGTCCCCTGCCCTGCGGTGGCTGTCACCTCCCTGGGGGTATTTGGGGATGTCACTCACCACCATCGAACTCATCGGGGATCTGCGGGGAGAAGAGGGAGGCGGAGGGTTACGATGGGGACAGCAAGAAGGATGGTGACATCAGAGGGAGGAAGGGGGGGGGGGGTCCCAGTGGCACCAGAGGGGCAGGGGACACCTGAGGTGACAGGGACAATTCGCAGGTAGGTGACGCTGTTTCCTTCCGCCGACTGATGTCCTTGTCACCCCACCGGTGTCATTGTCACCTGCTCAGCACTCCCCCCCTCCTCCGTCACCCTGTTTGATGTCCCCACGTCCCCACTGTGGGACACCGGAGACGGGCAGGGCAATTCACACCTCTCCCTCCCCAGGGAGCCAGGCTGCACATCAAAACCCCCCTCAACACCTCCCAAATCCTCAAAAAAACGGGGTTTGGGTGACAAAAACAGCTCCCTGGGGTGTGACGAGGATTGTCAGTCCCTTTGGGGACATCACAGAGACACGGGGCCCCCGATACCTGATGCGAAGATCCCAAAATAAGTGACCACACCAGCGAAAGGTGAAGGGAGAAGGGGAAGGCACTGAGCCCCCGCCATGTCCCCAAACATCCCCAAAGGGCAGGGGACATCAGCGCAGCCCCCCTGCCTAAAAAAGGAAGGGGGGCACGTCCGGCGAGTGCCCCTCACCTTGGCGCCGTGCTCATCCACCGCATTGCTGCCTGCAGGGCGGAGGGGAGACAAGAGGTGAGGTGGCGGGGGCGGGGGACACACTGCGGTGGCACCAGCAGCAGTGGGGACAAGGGGGGACACACACACACTCCAGGGGCTCACCGAAGATGTAGACGATCGCCACACTGGTGCCGGCACCCAGCAGCCCCGCCAGCCGCAGGGCCAGCCGCCGGGCAGCCGCCATCCGCTCCCGCCGTCGCCGCTGCTCCTCCTCTTCCTCCTGCTCCGGGCCGGCGCCGAGTCCCAGGGGTCCCTCTGCCGCCTGTGGGGTGAGGGGACACGGGGACAAGGGGGGACACAGAGACACCGTGAGCTCTGGGGGAGGGCTGAAGGGTCCGGAGACACCCAGGGAACCCCCAGGGACTCTTGGGGACAGCGATGAAGGTATGAGGATGGCAAGGGACATCCAGGGACAATCAGAGACAGGCAAGAAGCTTCCTGGGACCTTTGGGGACACACAGGGAGCTCTGGGGCTGTCCGAGGACATACAGAGAGCCCCAAGGATCTTTAGGGACCCCCAGGGATGTCTGAGGGTGGTCAAGGACACCCAGTGAGCCCCAGAGACACTTGGGGACACGCAGGGAGAGGCAGGGACACTTGGGAACACACAAGGAACCCTGGGGATGACTGAGGGTGGCCAGGGACAGTTGGGGAAATATAGGGACCCCTGGGGATGACTGAGGGTGGCCAGGGACACCCAGAGACACTCAGTGACGCCTAGGGAGCCCCAGGAAAATTCGGGGACACGCAGGGAGGCCTGGGGATGACTGAGGGTGGCCAGGGACACCCAGGGACACTTGGGGACACCCAGGGAGCTCTGGGGATGACTGAGAGTGGCCAGGGACACTTGGGGACATACAGGGACTCCTGGGGATGACTGAGGGTGGCCAGGCACACCCAGAGACACTTGGGGACACGCAGGGAGTCCCAGGGACACTTAAGGACACCCAGGGACTCCTGGTAACGACTGAGGGTGGCCAGGGACACCCAGGGATCCCCAGGGATCCCTGCGGATAGCCAGAGACTTAAAGATGTCCGAGAACAACCCCAAGCCCCCAAGGGCTCCGGGGGAAGAGCCGCAGACCCCCGAGGCCAGCGGAGGAAGGACAGGGCCACCCGTGGGCCTCCGGGCCGGGAAGGCCCGGGGACACCTGGGGACACCCGTGGGGCCGTCGCGGCCCTCCCCAGCCCCACTCCCCGTCGCGGCCCCACCTGGTGCCGCCGCAGCCGCTCCCGCAGCACCGCCTCGGTGCCGGCAGTGCCGCTGGCAGCGCGGCCCAGCGCGGCGCGGGCCCGGCGGGCCCCCAGAGCGGCGCGGGCCCCACACGCCGCCACGGCCCGCCCCGCCGCCGCCGCCGCCGCCGCCGCCGCCATCTTCCCGCACCGCGCCCCACACGGCGCAGGCGCGGGCCGCTGCCGCCGATCCCCCCCTCCCTGCGCCGCCAGCCAATGAGCGGCGGCGAGGCAGGCGCGGGGGGAGGAGGCAAGGCAGGGAGGGGCGGGGCGCGGCCTCTGGCCAATGGCGACGCCTGGGAGGCGGAGCCAGCGCGGGGAGAGCCAATGGGAGGAGGAGGCAGGGCGAACGGGCAGAACATGTGCGCGGCCGGCGCCGATCCCGCTCCCCCCTCCCGCGGCTCTTTTTTGGGGAGGTTTAAAACACGCCCCCCCCCCGACCCCGATCCCACAGGGGTCCCGTTTCAACCCCCCCACCCCAAGTCCCGCTTCAACCCTCTCCCCGCCCCACGGGGGGGGCAGTTTCACCCCCCTTTCCCCAGCCCTATGGGGCAGAGGGGCTCTGGTTTACACACACACCCGCCCTTCCGCGCCTTTATGGGGCGGGGGGCCCCTATTTCCACACCCTTGCCCACCCCCCTGGACCCCCCCCCCCCATAGAGGGCAGCGCAGAAGAGGGGGTGCTGCACCCACAGGCGTTTATTTGACACCTAAACCTTGCTACAACCAGCAGCGCAGAGAAGGGGGGTGGGTGGGAAAATGGGGTAGGGGGAGGAAGAAAAGGCAGGGGACATAAAGAAAAGGGGGGGCAGCAGGGGAGGGGGGGGGCGGGCCTCAGGCCTCCAGCAGTTTGCCGAGGAAGCGGAGGTTGAGGATTTTGAGCTGCTCCTCCAAATCCATGCGGACAATCCCGTCCTCCCCGTCGATGCTGAGCAGGATCCCGGTGGCTTCTCGGTCCTCCCCCAGGATCACCTTCACCTGCAGGGGGGCTGTGTTAGTGCCTGGGGGTGGGGGGGTGGGGGGGCGCAGAGGGGGGAGAGAGGGCTTTGTGGGGTGGTGGTGGGTCCTAGAGGGTGCATGTGGGAGTTCTGGAAGGTCTGGGGTAGCACCTGAGGGGATCTAGAAGATCCAGAAAGGTTGATGGGGGGGGGAGAGTGTTGGGGGGGCCCCAAGATGCGAGGGGGGGGTGGCCCTACCTTGTTGCTCTTGGTGGGGGTGACGGGCTCGAGGTGCTCGCTGGAGATGCTCACCACCTTCTCGCTGTCCTTCAGGTATACGGAGCACATCCCACCCTACAAATGGGAAAAAGATGGGAAGGGGGGGTGGGGGGCGTGTCAGCATCACCATGTGTGTCACCCCCTCCTCCAAAACCACCCCCCCATCCCACCCCGAGGGGAAGGGGGTGGGTCTCACCGTCACGCTGCGGATGACGCCGGTCTGTCCCACCGCCTGACTGTCCAGGTAGGTGTCACGGACCTTCACCTGGATGTCGGTGGTCACCCAGTCGCTGGAGCTCTGCTCGATCCCTGAGCCGGGGGTGTGGGGGTTGTACCCCCCCGGGGAGGGGGCCCCGGGGGTCATGGGGCTGTAGCCCACTGGGGAGGGGCTGGGGCTGGCCTGAGGGGAGAGAGGAGGCAGCGTTGGAGCCGGGGGCGAGGAGGGAATTTGTGGGGCTGTAGGGATTTTAGGGGTGTGTAGGGGGGCTATGGGGGGGGGGCTTGGGGGCTGTAAGGAGTTTAGGGGGGTGTAGGCGGCTATGAGGGAGTTTAGGGTGTTATATAGGGGCGCGATGAGAGCATTTAGGGGGTTATATGGGGTTATAAAGGGATTTTAGGAGGGCAATGAGGGCATTTAGAGGGTTATATGGGGCTACGAGGGGGTTTTGGGGGCTGTAGGGGGGGCTATGAAGCAGTTGTAGGGGGACTATGAGGGCGTTTAGGGGGTTATGTAGGGGATTGGGGGTTGTAGGGAGTTTAGGGGAGTGTACGGGGACTATGAGGGGGTTGTAGAGAGGTTTGGGTGTTGTTGAGGGGCAATGAGGGCAATGAGGGCATTTAGGGGCTTATATGTGGCTATGAGGGGATTTTGGAGGGTGTAGGGGGGGCTATGGGGCCGTTAAGGGCATTATGGGGAGCATGGGGGGCTTTGGGGGGTACCTGGTAAGCCATGGGTGACGGCGTGGGGTGGTAGCTGGCTGGCGAGTGGGTGTTCTGGTAGCCCACGGGGCTGGGGGCCACTTGGTGGTAGCTCTGGGGGCTGGGGCTGGGCTGGTAGGAGCCCTGCGGCGAGGGGACGGCGTAGGGCGAGAACTGGTCCGTGTTGTACCTGGGGTGGGGTAGGGAGGGAAGAGGTAGCACCCCCCAGGGCACGATTCGGAGGGCTTCAGGGATGGGGTTGGAGCATTTGGGGTCCTCCAGGGCCAACGTTGCACCCTGGGGGGACAGTTTCCCTCCAGGGCCGAGGTTTGGGGTCATTTGGGGTCTCCCAGGAGTACAGTTACCCCCCCAGGAGCAGCTTTCCCCCAAGGTCATGTTGTAGGGTCTCCTGGGGTTGCAGTTTCACACTGGGACCCCAATTCAGGGGCCATGGTTACCCGCCCACCCACCCCCCCCCCATCCCCCCCCATAGCTTGGGGTCCCTCAGGAGCAGTTTCTCCCACAGGTTCATGGTTGTGGTACCCCAGGTTCCCCCCTGGGGTGTGGTTTGGGGTCCCCCAGGAGCACAGGTTCTCCCCCGGGCTGTGGTTTGGGGTCCCCCCAGGAGCACAGTTTCCCCCCAGAGCTGTGGTTTGGGGTGCCCCCAGAGCTGTGGTTTGGGGTCCCCCCAGGAGCACAGGATCCCCCCAGAGCTGCAGTTTGGGGTTCCCCAGGAGCAGAGGATCCCCCCCAGAGCAGGGGTCACCCCTGGGGTAGAGGGAGCACTTACATGGCTGGTGTGCCCGGGGTCTGGGGGTTGTAGGGCTGGTTGACCTGGGGGGACGAGGGGTCGGGGTAGCCGGGGGTCTGGGGGTTGGGGGTGCCCCCGTAGCCCTGCGGTGAGGGTGTGGGCTCGTCGTCAAAGCCATACTCGAAGTCCTCATCGGCCCTACGGGTACAGATGAACGTCCCGGTAGCTGGGGGACCCCGAAACGGGGCTGTCCCGGTGAGGGGGACACCCCCCACCCCGTACCCACCTGGAGGGTGTGTTGGGGTTGTTGGGGTCCCAGGCGCCGCTCTGGGCGGGCGTGCGGCTGCCGTCATGCAGCGGTGTCTGCGAGCCGTAGTGCGGCGTGCGGCTGCCTGCGAGGGGCCCGTGACAGATCCGTCAGCCCCCATGGCTGCAGGGGCCCCCCTGAGCCCCCCCCCCCCCCCCCCCAGTTTCTCCATGTCCCTGGTCCCACCTCAGCCCTATCGCCTCCAGATCCCTCCAGGGTCCCCTCTGTGTCCCCCAAGATCCCATCTCATCCCAGTCCATCCCCCTGCAGCCCAGCCCGGAGTCCCCTCTGTGCTCCTGGGGTCCCTCCTGTGTCCCAGAGGTCCCCCTCATCCCTGTCCCCTCCATCCCTGTGTCACCCCAGACCCCTCCATGTCCCCCCCAAGGCCCCACTTCATCCTGCTGCACCCCCCGAGGCCAATGCAGGATCCCCCTAATCCCTGTTCCCTCCATCCCTCCATGTCCCCATCACATCCTGGTCCGTTCCCCAGGCCACCCCCGTGTCCCCCTATGTCCCCAACGCCCCCCCCAGTGCCACTCACCGTCGTGCAGAGGGGTCTGGGAGCCGTACATGGGGGTGCGAGAGCCGGAGCCGTACATGGGGGTCTGGGAGCCGTACATGGGGGTGCGCCCGTAGGCTGACGTCATCCCACCTGGGCGCCGTGAGCCCCTGCGGGGACACGTGGGTGTCAGGGGGGGACACGGTGCCAGGGGTGGGGACGGGAACCCCCCCTAAAAGAGCCCTGCTTATGTCTGCAGGTGTCATCTGCCCCCAGGGGAGGTCCTAGCCCAAGCGTCACCCACCCTGAGGACCACCCTGACCCGTCGGGGCGGGGGGAGCCTCTGAGGGTCACCCTGACCCATCGGGGGTGGGGGGGGGCCCTCTGAGGGTCACCCTGACCCATCGGGGGTGGGGGGGGGCCCTCTGAGGGTCACCCTGACCCCAGTATCCCCATTCCCCCCCCACTCACACGGTGGTCAGGCGCTGGCGGTCCACCGAGATGGTCTGGCAGGTGGAGTGCAGCTCCACGCGGGCCGTCGACTCCGTCGCGTCCTTCACCACCCCGATGTAGCCTGTGGGGTGGAATGGGGAGAGGGGGTGTGTGTGTCAGGCGTCCCTGTTGACACACACCGCCCCCCCCAGGGGACACAAACAGGCACCCAGCACCCCCCGGGAAAGCACCCACCTTTGTAGGGTCCTTGAGAGATGCGCACCGTCTGCCCGATGAGGTCGTTGTCCCGCCGCCCGCGGCCGCGGCTCATGCCGCCGCTGCCGAAACCGCCGCGTTGGCCTGCAGGATGGGGACAGGGCTCAGTGGAGGTGGGGGGCTGGTCCTTGGGGACCCCCACCCCCCGCGGCCTCAGGGACACCCCCAAACACTCACCAGCCCCACTGGGGTGCATCGGGCTGCTGATCCGGGGGCTCATAGGGGCGAAGCCACCCACGGTGAAGTTGGTGACGTCCCGCGGCTGCGAGAGGGGAGAGAAAACAGTGCCTGGAGGGGGGGGGGGGGGCAGCAGCAAAACCGGGGGGCTGCAGCCCTCCCTCGCAGTCCCTAGGGGTGTCCCTGGTGTGTCCCCACCTTGGAGCCCCCAGCCAAGACGAGGTGCCGGGTCTTGCAGACGAACATGCCGCCGTTCTCCACCAGCTTCTTGCAGTGCAGGAAGGCAAAGCCCCGGAAGAGGTGCCGGATTTCCCCCTCGCGCCCCTGCCCCGGGAAAAGGAGGGGGGGTTATGCCCCGGGAAACAAAGCTGGGGGGGGGTGGGGTGGGGGGCAAACCCCGGAGAGGTGACTGGATCTTCCCCTCAGCAACGGGAACAACCCAGCAAGGTGCTGGGAGGGATCTGGTGTCCCCTCGGTGCTGGGAGGGATGCAGAGGGGACCTGGTGACCCCTCAATGCCAGGAGGGACCCCAGACACACCAGGGAGGGACACCCCCCCCAGTGC